GACTGAAACGTTGACTCAGAGTAAATTTAAGCAGCACAAATCGAAGGAGAACTTTCAAATTAAGCCAATGTGTCGTTAAAAGACAAATAGTATAGTCAGCGAGATCAAAACAAACGCCACATTTTATTCATTTTTAGAAATAAAGCTCGAGCCAACGATAAGCACCTCAAAGCCAACGGTAAATCAAGCCAACAACATTTAAATGATGGAAAGAAATTGAATCATGAAAAGAATACTGACCAGCAAAACAATTACTGTGAGATTGATGGGGTTTGGAAACAACAAATCAAATACGAATTAAATGGTTCGGTCAACCAAGCCTACGACGTCATATCTTGGAAAGCACTAAGTTCGAATCAATCCATAGAAAAAATAGGTCATCAAAAGAAACTAGACATCAAAAACATCGGAATAGAAAATCTCGCAAAATGCGTACAAAATCAGAAATTAAACAGCGAAATTGTGGATGATATTCTGTACGAGCCAATCAGTGTTGCCAGTTCTTCTGAATTAGTGAAGCAACCTACAATGCCAAATCCATCTACTGTTACAACGAACAATAGTCTTACCAGTGAGAATGATCGTAACTTGAACGTGGAATCCAGTCATTACGGCCCAGAGATTAAAGATAATGTATTATACGGTTCACTCAAATATTCACAAATACAGAAGAAACGTTACTTCTCTGCTGATGACACATCGACGTGCTGTGGGCTGGAGACCAACGGATCTCAACGATTCTCAAAATCCCCGACGGAACATATCACCGAGAGTCGCGATATACTAAATCTAACTGCAAACGGGGAGGAGTGGATTTCCCAATACGAGTCTTATACAACTGATATGGTAGAAGAGGCACTTCATGGATCTTCGAGCTCAGCTGATAAACTGAACTTATACAACTGATATGGTAGAAGAGGCACTTCATGGATTTTCGAGCTCAGCTGATAAACTGAACAATCGTCAGAAGGCTTCCCATAGGACCCAAGATATAATATCGCCGAACATCTCTTACGAAGTGATTGATAAATGTTTTGAGTAAAAAATTGTTGTGTTTACCAAATGCCTGAACATTTTCATCAAGTAATCCAGTTAAAGTGAGGATCACCTTGTCTAATATAATCTCCAATATCCATTATATTCTGTACAGCAATGTCGGTTCATTAATTCGCGAATCATTCTTTCCGACAATAACAGCAGTGCGAAACCTCGTTTCTTGATAATCAGCTTTGATTTCTTTTGGATTTCCTTCAACGGCAGTTCAAACCGAGTGCTTTATTTTTTCTCGTACATCGTGTAGGATTTATTCTTACTGATTGGAAAAAAAAAAACTTGACTTGAAGGCATTGTATATTATAGGGAAATATCAACATATTAATTCTTACTGTAAATGTTTAGTTACGTCAATCCTAGTCGTTTCAATTATAAATTCTCTTCTATTTTACCTTTCAAACCCGGTTATATTTTGACGATTGAGAGTCTTTTTTTCACAAATAATTTCAACACTAACGTAATTTGAAAAAAATAACTACATTATTATTGACCATTGACTGCACATTCGTTGGTTCACTTCTTTATCAGGATAAATAGGAAAAATGATTTGCAGTACCGGTACCTATGCAGCGTGTGCAGTAGGGATTTTAGTAGGAAACAACAGGGAGACGGCGGTGGGGGGCATGGCCATTTTAGTCGGGTACAAAGTGACTATAGTAGTCACTTTGGTCGGGTCGGGATAATAATAATCTTTATATTGATTTACCCAAAAAAACATACACATAACAAATAATGAACACATAAAACAAACACACAGAATAATGGGAAATCGGGAAAACAGGCAAAACCTCGAGTAGGGTTTAAAACACGTATAAATAGCCTACATGTGCCTGTTCACCCATGATATTACTCTCACAAACATATTACAAACAAGAGAGCTATGCTCAAATATATGGACACGTAGAGTCACATAATTTTGATGACGTCATAGCGAAAAAAAAAAGTAATAGCCTTCTGGAGAAAATTCTTTAACCACTGAAAATGTCAAAGCAATTGGTCCAGTATTCGAAGAGAAAAGCGACTTTTTAAAAACGTGTCAAACAACAACAACAACATAATATTGAAACGATCGTTATGTCCACTACGTGTCCAAAAAACATAAAAACACGAACGTGTTATCGTTCCAGCGTTCGGGCGTCTGACTTGTGTTACAAACAAAATGCAGGTGCGGTAGGTTCTAATTTAAAACTGTTTACGTCGAAATGGACATGATCGGGCTGTGTTTATTAAATTTGCGTAAACAAGTGCGAACTAGTGAGTTAGATAAATGCAGTGTCAGAATGAATGAGTAATAAATAAATCGAAATGTCTTTTGGTTGATTTCCTCATTGTAAATAAAATCCGACGTTGTGATGTGCTGTACACTAGGTGCAATGTTTCATATAAAATGCCTGTCTGTCCATCTCTTTTTCCTTAGTTCTTTGCGGAGCAAGTATGTAAAATTGGAATCTTGGGTAACCCGTACAGCAATGCCAAAGTAGTCTTTATTATCCGAATCCTATTATTTCGTTGTTCATCATTTAGAATGTTGATTGTTTCTCATTTTTGTATTCCATTTGTTTCCACTAACCAAGTTGTTATCTTCGGCGCTATTACTTTTTGTTTAGTTTTCAATTCTAGTATTTCACCTGTTTACCCTTCCATGCTTCTAGCTGTGACTTGAGACATGTATTGTAGCCTACTAAACCCAATTATATATTAGGGGTTCCTTTAATTACCGGAACGGACCCTAAATTACCGGAACGGGGTGGAAAACATACATAAACCTTCCGGAACGGACCTTTAGATGTCTTGCATATGTCATTTCATATACTTCCATGCAATTTTTATAATAAATCGGCAAACTTGGGAGGGGAGGAGGGGGGTCAGTGGTAAAAATAATTTTCTTTAATTACCGGAACGAATTAAATTGCCGGAACGCAGTGAAAAACCTACCTAAACTTACCGGAACGGACTTGTATAAATCTTGCAAAGGATATTTTATGTTCTTCTAAGCGATTTCTCAAATATAATTAGAAAATTTGGGGGGATAAATGGTAGAAAATACCAATTTCATTTTGCGCCGCCTAGTGGATGTAAATTGAGCAATCAATTCCTGTATCATCTCTTATCAATATGAATTAATGATAAAAATCGATAATCAAAACCTTCTTATATGTTATTAGCCTTTAATTTTCCTTGTAGATAAGATAACGTAGTCATAGATTCAGATTGAAACAAATAAAAATTGTTTCCACAAACATTCTTGTGCAGGTGTTGTGACTATGTAGCACAACATAAATATCCACCTAAGCCTGTCATTAAAATGAAAATGTTGTTATTTTAGTTCGCGTTCCTGTCAGCCGTAAAAAGTGCCGTTCCGGCACTGTAATCTACCTTGATATATTGCATATTGCTTCGTGTCCATATATTTGAGCATCGTCCTCTTGTTTATCTACATACATACAAATCTGATCCTCTAAAATGACTCCTTCAAAATTTACTAATATGTTAAAAACTGTTTTCACAAACATTTTTGTGCAGACATTGTAACTATGTAGCTAAACATTTTATATTGGAACTGGTTGAAGTACGTGAACATATTTGACAAAATACTTGAATTTAAAATTTCAGCATAGGAAAATGCGAGAGGTGACCACGAGTTGAAAACGATTGTCGCTATAGCCTTTATAGCGAGGACGGTTCAGAGTGCTCCTGCTGATTTCTCTACTGATAACACAGCTTCGAGCCCCGTTATCTTATCTACAAGGAAAATTAAAGGCTGATAACATGCAAGAAGGTTTTGATTGTCGATTTTTACCACTGTCCCCCCAAGTTTGCCGATTTATTATAAAAATTGCATGGAAGCATATGAAATGACATATGCAAGACATCTAAAGGTCCGTTCCGGTAGGTTTATGTATGTTTCCCACCCCGTTCCGGTAATTTAGGGTCCGTTCCGGTAATTAGAGGAACCGATACCGGTGTATTTGCACATACCAGATTTTGCGGAGTCTTTTTTCATCTTTTTTTAAATCCCAATTACTCCTCAGCACGTAGCAAACGGCAGCAAAGCAGAAGTGATGATGTAAATTTAAACTACGCCAAATTCATATTACCAAAGATTGATTAAGATACAAATGTATACGTCCTACCTCCAAGCGGCTCACGCCGAAAGAAGAATAATGTTATAGTCTAGTAGGGACATAGCGGGAATCGACAGTCTCATAATGATGTATCGACATAACTATTCTCGTAGAGACGAAGTCATTTCATTGTGGATATAACCATTATAGTAGACTGTATTGACATACCGGCACCGTAAGCGTAACGGACATCGCTATTTTAGTAATGTAGTAGGAACATGGCGGTAGCCGGTAGGGTAGCAAATTTTCAAGGTTCTAGTCTGGACTACAGTCATTGGATTAGGTAACGTAGGGCGTAAGGTTAAGTTGTTGCAATGTAGGCCTACGTACACAAAATTACAATACATATTTTCAGATTTTATATTGAAACAAATATCAGAATATTGCAGAACATAATCAATAATTTGGATAAGCGAACACGTACCGTACTACTACACTACTACAGTACTACTTTTATCAATACCTTCCCACCTAAAATCTGTACACTTTAAAACTTACTTGAGGTTTCGTTTGCTTTCTCGATTCTATAATCAGTTTTATTTATTACTTATCTATATTTAGATAGAGTCATGAATCGAAACCGCAGTTTCGATCGATAAGTCTTCAGTCTCCGACCGACATTCTCGTTATGTTTTTATCAAATATTTTATCGTCTATTGCTGATTATGGAGTCGAAATAAACTTACTTACTTACTAATTAATTATCTTTGAAACGAACTGGACACATCATCTACTATAGGGTCTATTACACAGCTTTATTGCAGTACTGTGTACCGGTATTTGTCCAACACTTACAGGTACACCCTTATGGAAAACTAAACTCCTATTTCAAATGTTTAAATTTATTCAGGTGTGGTAGCTTATCATCAGTATGGAACTTGCTACCAGTAACAATAAGACAAATGTTTTATCTGTTGCAAGCAATGTAGACTTGCGGGATAGGATCGTTGGCGATTATGTATTGGACTGGTCAAAAGATAATTGCATTGCAGTTGCTACGAGTAAAAATGTAATGCTATATGATCTGAATCCATTATATGACGTGAACAGCTCGGAAATGTGTTTCAAAATCCAAGCCATCTCGCCGATTGAATCGCTTGATTACGACGCTGGAGCTCGGAAAATGATGTATGATTATGACATGTTGTGTGCTGTACCGTCCAAAAATTCTGCTTACCCTGACTTCGAAATTTATCGAATGCATATGGATCTTAGCATAAATAGATCTCATGGATCGGAAGAAGTTGGAGACATGGGATTCCGAGCGGTTCAGTTTTCACCACTAGGGTGTGCAGTAGGTAGCGGAACTGTTCTTGCCACTTTGACAATGGGGCATCAGCTTCAATTGTTTTCAAAATCTTCTGATGGTATATTTGTACAATGGAACAACATTAGAAATCTAACTGAAATATTAGTCAAAATTCTGCTTAAAAATGAACAATATTACCCTAAAATTAAATTCCCAACACAAAAATTAAAATCCCAGAATATAGTCGAGAAACAATATGCCCCTTGTATTGTTTGCATGGAATGGTGGGATAAAATATACATAAAAAGTTCCAATGGAAAATTTATATTTCTTGCCACTGGTACGAAAAATAACTTTGTAATAATTTGGAAGTTGCATCTGCCGATTAGTTCAACTTCAGTTGTGACTATTGTGAGTTACATTAAAACAAATTTAAAAGGGATTAAAAGTATTAGCTGGTTGAAAATTGGATCGAATGAAGAAGAAATTCTCAAACTAGCAATTGGGGGAATTGAAGGCGTGGTGAATTGTTTAGAGATTGACTTAGATGGAAATTTGTTAAAAGAGAATGAAGTTTGGAACGACAGAGACCAGCTCACGGTTTCTGCTATTGATTGGAGAGAAACTGATGAAGGTGATGACACTGGTTTGCTTGTGGCAAAAGGACCTTTGCTTTTATATATGAAAATATCTTCTGATCTTGTGTTGGTATCACATTCAGTTTTAATTGGGTTACACATTCTTCCAGTTGTGAATATACAATTTGTAGACCAACCCGCTTCGTGGCTTACAATCAGTAGAGATGGTCGTCAAGCTAAAGTTGTTTTGAAAAAATCTACCGAGGAGAATCTAAGACTAAAGTATGAGGTTTTATCGGAGCAGACTAATCAATCTTCTATGGTTTTTCATGAGACAACACATTATCATATTTTATCACCTAACGGAGCTTTTGTTGCGAATTTACGATCAAAACCAAAAGTATCATTATCTATACTTGTTGAAAATTCAGCGTATTTGGAAATTTTAACTCTTAAAAGCGGAATGGAATGTTTTCAATCATTGTGCGCTCAAGTGGAACAAAATAATGCAGAGGAAAAAATGAAACTAGATTTGGTTGAGTCCATTCGACTTCATCTTATTAACAAATGTGTGTTTAAGAATGAGTCAGACTCAATATTACTGAGAACTTGCCTAGAACGGTTTCTTGACTTCGATGATGCGGAAAGCAATAAGTTACGCTTGACATGGATTCTGTTGAAAATTTATTCTGCTGTTTTTTCGGAAGGGGGACAAGATTACTCAAAAAAAATTCTGCAGAATGAAAAAATATTATCAAGCAAGCAAATGATGAAAGTTATAAAACACTGGTTCATAAATTCAAACGATGAAAAAACGGAAACTCATCAAATTCCTATAAAAACTATCATAAATTGGTTGTCGAAAAACAAAAATATTTTAAGCGAAGATGATTTTAGTTTTGTAGAAAAGGTACGAACCTCAAAAAATTATGAGCTTGTTAAAAAGGAAACATGCCCGATAACAAGAGAATTTTTAACCATGTCTGAGGACGCTAAATCTGCCATAACAGAGTCTAAATCAATGACTTGGTTTCGATGTTGCTTGACATTTTGTGCTCTTCATTGTTTCAAAGCAAGAAAGTGTGAAATCAGTAATTCAAGGGCATTGAATTTAAATGATTCAGGGAATGAGGAAGAATGTGCGATCAATGACCTGTTACAAGATTGTTCAATATACAGTGGTCTTCCTATGATTTAATTGCCTCTTATATTAGTATGCTTCAATAGAAATTCTCTTGACCTTTGACCCATCAGTATGCTTTAATGGGAAATCCCTTGGGATGCTTTAATAGAAATTACCTTGATCTTTGACTCCAAATAGGATAGGATTTTTGTATTCATTTATTATTTACAAGCAATCTTGAAAATCTGGGCCAACCTATTGCCTGAGCGATGGTCAAAATTTCATTTATAATTGCATCACAGTATACTTGTTTATGGTTAGTCATTGAAAAGGAAATAAACAAGGAAGTTATCAATGCTCTGTGAAACATCCTGCTTAATAACACATCATGGCAGGTGTGAATGTTAATAATGTGGAGATGATTATGTTCAAGAGATTGTAGGAACTGTTTTGGGTACACCTGTGTCCTGTAGTGTGTGTGCCAGGTTAGGCCAACGTTTGCTTTATCATGATTGCCTTATTTAATGCTATTGCAAGTTCGGGGACGACTTCTGTTACCATGTCAATAGGTGTCAGTCCCTTTACACAACTTGATGTAAAGTAGGCGAACAAAATTAGTTACCTCCATATTTGTACACATGCTTTCTGAAGCGCTGTTGTGTATAAGGCACATATTCATGTCTTTTGCTCTGAACAAGGTCATATACAAAGGATCCACTGATATCTAACCATATGAAATCTCTTAGGATTGGCGTTTTCTTATACTATGTGCATTTCATTGTCTTTTTATGACGATATTATTTAAATCATGTTCCACTTATTTTCCCCATTTTTACTTCACTGCCAACACCCTTTTTTAGCGTAAATTGTGTTTATTTACATGAATATGGTAATATAGAATAGAGAAATCAGAATTGGATTTTTCATGTTTGTTGTTTGGCATTAATAAAGGAATATATACAAGAGCAGGAAAAAATGTCAGCAAGGAAAGCGACCAAGGTGACTTAATTTAATACGTTTTTGATAAACTTGATGGGTATGTCAATAAATGGGTTTGAAACTGACATGGGCAAATTACAGCCCGAGGGCCGAATCCGGCCCGTTTGGTAATTCAATATGGCCCGTCGGGTGCTGTCACAACTAAACTAAAACCAAATTTTGATGTTTTAGCTAAAAAATAGCTTAACAAATTTGTTGTGATTGCAATCAAATTTGGTATAAGACTTATTGTTTCTTTGCTTTTGTAACAAATGTTGTTCATGAAATATAACTTTTTACGTCACACTTACATGGCCCGTCAGTCTAGGTGGGCAAAATATTTGGCCCCTGGTCTAAAAACCTTGCCCACCCCTGGTTTGGAATCATCTGTTGAATTTTTGTAGCATGTGTTCTAGTGACATCTTATGAGGGTTTTTCTTGGTGATTCCGAGCAGAGCCTAATATAAATCTCATCACTTTATTTAATTATACTTTCAAATTCTTCTTCTTTTATGTAGCCGTCCAATGCCAGTCAGGAAGATTCAGAAGACTACTGGAATAAATCTGCACTCACAAAATTTAATTTCGACGATGAAGAAGATGAAGACACAATAGAAGTTACTAATTGGGATGGATCTTCTGCTAATCCTGACAGGTGAGTGTTGCAATGACGTGATCGAATGGAATATTATACTACATTGTAGTCTAGATGTTGTTTTTCTCTAAATATCAGACCAATGGTGAATGGTTTTATATTTTGGTAGGTAAAAGAAGTGTGCCCTCGTTTTTTGTGTTTCAAAAATTGCTTTCTTTTTTCACAAACTTTTTTGATTGAAAATTATTTTTTAGGATTTTGGTGTATCTAGTACAGGGTATTTTCCTGCCTATCAGTAGTTTGTAAAGTAAATGAAAAACACTCTATATGTAAAATATTATGAATTTTCCTTAGAATTCAGATAAGACAAACATAAGCTTGAAACATAATTTATGTAGGTCTACCTATGCACGAGGAAATGAAGTTTGTTTTTGAAATTCTGACTAATAATTTACAAATCTTAGTGAGTTTTTCCAAATATCAAAGGATGCTTATTTCAGCTTTTTGCATCCAAAACAATATGTAAAGAGCTACTCTTTTGAAAAGACCGATATTTTTCGGGTTTGGCATTGCCTAATAACCAATTAATCACACTCTGGGGTTGGTGTGGTTGCCTTGAATTAGAAGTTCTTCACCAAACATCCAGCAATCTGACCACTATACCATTTCATTCTATTTAAATAAAATACATAAAATTTCTAAGAAATCTTTATATGTATTCAAGTCTTTACTTTATATGATTTTCAGACCTCATTCTCAAACATCACAGAAGACCAAGGCATCAACTATTGCAACCGCGGTTTCAGCTCGTGCTTTTCGAGGAAAGACTGGCTCAGCTTCTCAGGTGATGACAGATTCTATTTATTTTTTTTGTTTTTCAATTTGTTGTTTATAAAAAGTTGGGGGCTCCTGAAGTATGCGAACCAAGATGGCGGACATCAGAATGTAATATGTGTACTAGGTTAGGGTTAGGCCATAATTTTAGCTATAAATACTACGGGAGGCTCTTGGCTAGTCTTCGAACTGATAATAGGACTAAAATAAGGAAAATTGGAAAAAAATTATCGCCTAACCCTAACCTGTTCCGCCATCTTGGTTCGCATACTTCGGGAGCACCAAAAGTTGGGAGGCAACCTTCAAGTTCGAAAAGGCATCCCGGAAAATTTTGACTACATCTTCAGAAGCATCTTACTTTGTTCTTGCAGTGTTTGCTAGAAGTCCCAAAATACAGTGTCATGTCCAGTTACAGGTCATCCTGCAGACAAGTTTAATAAATCCATTGCCCAAGTTCGAATACTTTGGCGCTAAAATTGCCAAAAATCAAATCTAATAAAAAACTACTTATGGCAGTGTAGTGGAATAATTAAAATATGATTCTTACCACATACAATAAAATCAGGGTTAATGAAGGATATTCCACTTGTCCCACTTTCGACCTCTTGATTAGACTAAATTGAAGTTCGTATATCAATTCTTCCATCATGTAAAACTATTCTTTTTTTACAGTCTGTAAAATTCTCTGCTCGGGGAGGAGCATCTATGAGTAATAGTGTTGTGTCGCCACTGGAATCAAGTAAAAATGAAAGTGAGTTTTATGTGAAATAGCTGACCTGTAGTGGCATGACCGAGGCTCATTGTTTCATTCCTAATTTTTGATCATTTCGAAAAATTGCTCCACACTGTGAATTCTCATTAGGGCTGTCCAAACTGGAATATTTTTTTGATTCGAATCGAACCGAATATTTTTCTCGAATCGAACCGAATAAAAGAATATTATTGGGCAATCCTAAATTTGTCTCTAAGTCTAATGTACAAAAAAAACTTCCTCTTCAATATTGTGATAACGTTTGTGCAGTTATATTCTAATTATTGCAAACATTTTGCATAACTATGTTTCCAGAGTTATAAAAGGAGAACACAATCCTCCTTGAACTGGTCAAAAAATTAGGGTTTTGAAAACTATCAAGTTTTAAGAGTTGAAAATTGCACAGACTCTTTTAATGCTCGTAGTTGCTATTTTAGTCCTATTATCATTAGTATTATTAACTCAATATTTTTCTTGTAATTTTCAGTAAAATGATAAACAATTATTAATATAGATATAACTGTTGCCCAAAAAATTCAAAATTGCATTTCGGGAACTCACAAATTCAGAGCTAGTTTGATGACATTAATATTTGATGACCATATTGTTGCTGTACAACAGCCATCAACTCACAAAATTGCAATTATTTGTCATAGTAATAAATTTTATTGGAAAAAGATATTGGACCTCCAAAACGTGATTCAGTCCTGTACCATGTTCCTATGATTACTGACACAACAGCTACAAATCGATTCTATTTATAGAACTGGCGTTTTTGGCTGACACAAAATTTGCCTTTTTCTCTCCTTGTGTTCTCTCAAAAAACGTCATCTTTAAATCATTGTTACCAATAACTTTTCATTTATGACCATGCATGGAATGGATAATTACATGTCACTGGGCAATAGGAGAGACCTTTTTACAGCAAAGAAAGCGATAGAAACATGTTTTTGCTTGCCGGTGAAAAAGCCCTGCAAAGGTGGTCGTGAGGCGCATTATGTACCAAATTTTAGCGATTTGTAAATTGGCCCAAAAACGCTTCGAATAATTTGCGATTCGATTCGATTTCGAATATTTGGTTCGCTTGGACAGCCCTAATTCTCAGTCAACCGAAATTGGAGAGCAATGTCCAGAAATGGCCAGAACCAAATATTTTACTAATTTGAACACATTCTGAAAGGTCATTGTTTTCTCTGTGTTGTTTATTATTAGTTGAGATATCATACATTTTGATCTGCTTGTCTGATGGCTCTGAATCCCTATCAATTTCCAAATAAAAATATTCTAAATTATTCCAAACTCAAATTTTTTTTATATCAAATATAATAAATTTGGAGAGTATCGATTTGTTTCGGACATCACTGGTGAGGTCCCAAGAAACCGTGTTAATACTAATGTCGTAGGTATATTAGTGTTACCTCCTTGTTTTCTTATATTTTCAAATCTTCAATTTATAATTCCCAGCACCTCAAGGAGTATCAACAACTGTGTTAGCAAAACTAGAAACAGAAAGAAATACTTTAAGAAAACAATTAACCCAAGCAAAACGTGAAAGAGCAACAGCGCCCTCTAAACAAGAAACTTTGAAAAGATTCATGGTAAGATATTTTCACTTGGATTGAATTAAAACTGCAAAATATCAGGTGAATTATTGGGCCCCGAAGGATGCAGAGGGAATTAAAAAAAAATAAAATGAAGAAATAGCCTTCTATAAGTATTGAGAATTTGAAATAGGTTGTTCCATTTTTTGTAAGGGAAAGCGATTTTCTCGCAACAATTTAGCAAAATCTAAAAGTACACTTCATGTCCAATAATCAAAAGGTTGATAAAATATTGAATTATGCAATTTTTTCAACTTCAAACTTGTGATTCATGCGTTTGAGTGTGGTCATAATATAGAGACGTATTAAATGAAAAAAAAAGGTACTACCGTAGTATGTGAACCAAGATGGTGGACACCGGAACGTAGTAGGTATACCTGGTTAGGGTACGCGATAATTTCAGGTACAAATACCACAGGAGTCACTTGGCTAGTCCCCGAACTCGTTGTAGAACTAAAATCCGGTGTCCGCCATCTTGGTTCACATACTTCGGGAGTACCAGAGAAAATACCTAAAAAATAAAACAGATTAAAATGAAACAAACCTGGTTAGGATATATTGAGAATTGACTTTATAACAAAATAGAAATTGTAAATGGACTTTGAAAATGCTCGATACGATTATCAAAATTAGCTTAAAATCGAAAATTATCTATTTTTTCATGATCCTTTTTTCTTCCAGCTCGGTGAATCTGTCGTAAAAGAACTGTATCGTTCAGTTGAAGACAAGACAGCATTATTAGATGCTGCAATAAGAAGACATGATGGGAATGCGATTCTTTCTATAACATTATTCATGAGAAATACTTTAAAAAGAGGTCAGTAGAAGTCTTCATTGTTCATGATGACTCTTGTCAAAAGACTGAGTTTGGAAAGTAATTTTTGCTTTTGAATTGATTTAGGACAATGAACTAATTTTGTATATAATAATAATTCTTCTCAGGATATTCTTTTGAAACATGAATTGGTTATGTGGGGAAATACTCTGTAATCTGTATGACTTCCATATGAGCTTTACCCCAATACGATATTTTGCAAATTAATTGTTTATAAAATTAAGTTGTATATAATGGGCACTGATAGGATCACATTTTCAAATCTT